CCAAAAGAGCTTATGAAAAAGCTAAAGGGAAACAAAAAGGCTAGAACATTTACCTGTCAAGAGAGAGGGAGAAGAATTGCTGCAAAACTGAGTTTCCTGAAGTGGAGCACTAGACTCCTAAACAACTTAAAAAATGATCTAGTAGAAAGAAAAATCAACCAAAAGAGCAACATGCAAACAAAAGCAAACACCTCAGGAGCAAAACAAATTAATGTTTAATTTGTATTTGCTAAATTGGCAAAATGGACTGGTAAATTGACCATGCCCACCCAGTCACATGACCACCTAGCCACAACCACCTAGTCACATGACTACCTAGCCACACCCATCCAGCTGATATGGTTCCAACAGTTTGAGGGACCGTGAATCCCCCCTCCCATTTAAAAAGTTTGAGGACCCCTGATGTAAACAGTTAGCAAACTTTATTCCCTCCTAGCACTGAAGATGTTACCTAGTTTAAATGTTTGCAGCAAGCAGACAACCAGGCTCAGAGAGCACTAAGGACTACATTCTTCCTTCTAAGATGTGATCCTCAATTACCTATTTGCAATGCTTGCTAAGTACTGCTTTTAACATCACCACAGCATGCATAGCACATAGCTGACCTACACAGATTACAGAAAGCTAAGCAAGGTCACATCTGGTTAGTTTCTAGAGAGAAACCACAAAGAAATCCCATTGTTTCCAGGAAAAATGGGGTCAAAATCTGGAGTCTATTTTTTCTTTAATTTCAAGGAACCCAAACTCTATACTTCTGAATACAGTTGTTTACAGAATTGTTAGGGTGCCTAGATAATTTTTGATTGCATTGATTCAGAATAAGGTATATAAGTAATCATTTGGTCATTTTCTCCCTAAGAACATGAAATATCTAACATTAAATTTACTAATGCATGTGAAATGTATTGAGAAAATCAGTACCGTATATTCCGCTGTATAAGGCTACTGGGCATATAAGATGATCTAATTTCAGGCACCCGCGAGCCGGCTGAAGGCCTCCGTGCTGCTGGGCTTTCGTAGTTTGAGCTCAGCGCCTTCCTCCTCCAGACCGCCAGCCAGACCTTACTAAGCCATCCCAGCGCTCATCCATCCACATGCCCAGGCGAGGAGCGCCAAGGTTAACAATTGAAAGGTCGGCGTCTGCGCTAGTGGCAGCGCAGTTTTTTGCTTGGCGGTGTTGCTTTTTCTTTTGTTTTTTGGTATGGCCTTTCTTATACCCGGTGTATAAGACGATCCATGATTTTTGAAATAATTTTTGGGGGGTTAAAAAGTCATCTTATACGCCGGAAAATACAGCATTTTATGTTGATTGAAAATAGTTGTTATTGGTCAATTTAAACAAAAAAAAACTGTTAAGATTTGAATATAGAGTTTTTTTTGTTCATAGCTATAAGCTATGGTCTTGTTTCTTCCATTTTCAGATTTCATACCTACCAAGAGGAAAAAGGCTCATTAATGGTGCATCTTAAGGGGAAATGGTGATAGATGAATCATCTGTCTGAATGAACCATGTTTTCCAGCCAGGAATGAGGCAATCTGAGTGACCCTGAGTGACCATGCTATGTTGTGAACTTGACACTTGTTAAGAAGGCACAGAAGCAGAAAAGACATTATGTAAATTCTGTTAAGCATTACATATGATTTACTTCATAGAAGATTATAATGGATTCTTTATTCATATTTAAAATGGATTTTGGTAAAAGTTAGTTTCATTTTTAAAAAGTCTTTAGCCACGTTAATTACATGAAAGAAGAACCACTTGTACTGGACAGTAACAGATTTGTAAATGCAGTGCATATGTATGTTGTAGCTTTTTATGTATGTATATTACTCCTGCTTCCATTGGTTTATTTGTAATTGTAAGTTATTGTTAGAAGAACCTAGAACAAAACAACATTCTGAAGAATTAGAAGATTTAACATTTTTGCACTGTTGAAGGTTATGGAGTTCAGCTCTGCTTTTTTTTCTGCAAAACTTTGGGGAATGTACTATGAACTAGACTGAAAGATCCTTATGTGATTCTAGATTTTTCACAAAGGAGAAGATAGAAAACCAGATGGTTCCTAGCTTAAACTAAGGGTTGAAATTTACAAGCAGGCTGAAATGTGATGTATTATAAGAAGTTGAAAGAAATCATAATTTTGTCCTGCTTGTTTCAATATTGTTTTAATAACAGCAGTCAAAGACAATGCAAACTAAACTCAGAAATCAAAAATAATAAAGAATAAAAGTGCAAAGAAAAAGGAAGAAATAAGAAAACTATTTAAAGAAGCCATTTCAGATCTTCAGTAATTCTTCACTCCCATAAGGTTACATGCAAGCATCTCTTCTTCCCATAACCCATCCCTTATGCATGTGCAAATCCATAAATCATTAACATTTCATTCAATCTTAATGCCAGCAAAAAAATCCATATATTTTTTTTAACGTTGAAACATTTGTTTTAAACCTTAAACAAATTTTGTAGTCTTTCCTTTTGCTACTAATCACCTTAGTCTTTATTTCATTGTAGGATTGTTGGAATATTGGTTTAATTATTTTCAAAATTTTATAGCAAAAGTTCTCCTATTCCAAATTTGCCTGATGACCAGACCCAAAGGTAGAGATGGGAAAACCAAGCAACAACTTTGGGAGAATATGGGGAAAACTCATCTCTTCCCCCCCCCCCCAACGTTTCCATTTTTTTAGGCCGTCTCATCTTTATCCACAGGTGAAGAATTCAAATTGCTGTTTATTGTTCTATGCCTATTTCATAGCAATCTTCCCAGTCTGGTAGTTTGCCCCTGGGAAAGACTACGTAAGGTTCAATGGCATTTAAGTGGGATGGTGATGGTGTCAGACTTTGCCTTCTTGTATCTTGGTAACGATTCCAGACTGATCCTGTTTGATACCCTCCTTCTGACCGGGACAGTCTCTCTCTGACACATAGTCCTTTGATTTGCTTATAAATGTCTTGTGTTAATTTGACTTTTTGCTGTTTATTTCAAATATTTAAATTCTTAAGCTTATAGCTGTCTCAGAAATACAAGAATTTCTGCTTTTACAGCCTAAGGCTGTAAAAGAATAAAGATAAAGAATAAAGATAAAGAATTCCATTTGTAAAGGCATTTTTCTGGCATCTTTTCTAAAAGAACAGTGTATGGATTGTATTTTTCTCTGTAAAACTGCTAATTCTGTTTAAGCAAATGTATTGTAACTGGGAAACATAGCATTTCAGCTCAAACGAATGCCCTAAATAATTGAGCAATAAAATCTTTAGTATATTTTTAATGAGTTGAACTGCACAGGAACTCTCTTAAATTCACATTTGAAGATCTGCTCATGTTGCTGCAGATCTCAAGCTGAGGAGGTGGGTAAAGAAGTCTGCTACAGAACGGTTGAATAACAGCCCATCAAAGTTCAGTTCTACTAATTGGCAATCCTACTGATTGAAACCCCTTCATGGACTACTGCCCTGCCAACAAAAGTGTATATAGTCAAAACTATGTTTTTTTCCAGTTGCAATGTATGGTTGGATCATAAGAAAGGCTGAGCGTCAAAAAATTGAGGCCTTTGACCTATGGGGCTGGAGAAGACTCCTGCGAGTCCCTTGGAGTACAAGGCTATCAAAGTGGTCAGTCCTAGAGAAGGTCAACCCTGACTGCTCTTTAGAAGACCAGATCCTGAAGATGAAAAATACTTCGACTACCAAATGTGAAAACTATTTTAAATATACTTTATAGGCGACAGAGAATGAGGTGGCTGGATGGAGTCACTGAAGCAGGAGGCGTGAGCTTAAATGGACTCCAGAGGATGGTAGAAGACAGGAAAGCCTGGAGGAATGTTGTCCATAGAGTCACAATAGGTCGGACATGACACTGCAACTAACAACAACTAATTGAAAAGGCTACTTAATTGAAAAGGCTACCTTTACAGAAAATGCTAAATCAGAATTCTTAAGAATTCTGACTTTGAGCATGCAGCTACTGGATACCTAACAAATCTGGACGCCTCCACCCAGATTTATGTACTGTTATCATAGTTAACCACAAACTGGTTACATGATTCATTCCTTTATCATCACGGTATGCTCTATGTGCTCAGTCTTTTTTGAAGACCACTCAGAAACTGCAGCACTCAGAAACTGCAGTTAGTGTAAAATGCCTGTTTGTTGCTAATTGCTATTATCTTAAGACAAAAGGCTTATGTGGAAGGAAGCCTTATCAATATGCTTCCAGCTGCAATTGAAAATGCTTTTTTAGCTTTAAAGCTGGGTTGGCATCAAGGTACCTGCAAAGACTATCCAATCTAATCAGAGTTGAGGTGTCTGATGATGGCTTGCAGGAGAAACCACTGCTGTCAGGTGCCAGGATTCTGATTCGGACACTGGCAATGTTGCTCCAGCCGAGACTGTAGATTATCAGACTTTGGAATCTTCAAGTCATCATTAATCTGAGGAGGCTGAGCAATCACAGGCATTTTATGATCAGCTGGAGCCGTTGGATGATTAAGCACAATCTCCCAAGTCTGGATGCTTGCAGCAGTGAGCAGAGCAATGCCAGTCAATGAGGCTTCTTTCTAAGCAAAGGATGAGTCCTGAATAATTGCAGCCAGCTGCCTTCAGTCTCTTGGAAACAACAATTCAGAATAATGGTTTATGATTCTTGGACCTACCAACTACTTGATTGGCTTTCTGTGACTCTGGATTATGCTATTACTTTTGGACTTTATTGGCCTTTTTTAGGCAAGCATTCTCTGCTAGACATTTAAATTACATTTCTGTCTGCTGTTATCTACTTCAGCTTCTGAGTACAGTGTCTACGTGTGTATTCCTGCAACCTTGAAGCAGTGTAGCTGCCAACATCCCAGTTGGGTGAAATGAGGCCAGAAGGAGTAACTTTTGGATCTCTCTGCTTTTTGGGGATTCTAGAATTATGACCATTCAGAAGCTGGTGACAGTTGAACTGTTCTCAAGAGTGCCTTTGAGATATGAATGGCCACTATTGCACTTCTAATTTGAACTATAGTTTTCACCTTTGTTTTTTCTTCTTGTGATGCTATTGGAGTTGTGAAGTAATCTCTCCCCCCACCCCCACAATGACAGACATTTTATTGCATTTGTTTTTCTTTTTATTACTATGGATGTTCTATTGCATTTTTATATTATAAACTGCTGGAAGTTTGTTTCAGTGGCATACACATTTCAATAATAAAAAACAGTTATCTGCTTTTGACAGTCCTAGCTACTGGATTCAATGCTTGTTTTTTTTTAAAAGCAATTCTGGTAAGTGAGAAATTAATGTTGCCTAGGAGTAGGTCAGATATAGAGAGGCCATAAGCCT